AGGCAAAGCCGCTGCGCTCGAGACTCCCATCTCCTTCCCTGCAGAGGGGAGCCAGCAGTCCCCCTTCATGGGGGTGTGGGGGACAGATCAGCCCTCCTCTGCGATGGGCCTTGCACACCTGAGGCAGGTGGCCCCTTCCCTCCCCAAATCCACCTACAGATCCCAGAGCAAAGGCCTCTTCTGCACACTGGACAGCAGGCCACATGGACTGCCCCCCACGCCCTCCCTCCACCCTCCCTCCATCTGGTCAGAGGCCACACCCTCCCTCCACCCTCCCTCCATCTGGTCAGAGGCCCTGGTTCTTCAGGCCCAGGGTGGGCGGCTCCCCCAGGCTGCTCCTCCTGCACTCACCCGCCCAACTCAGAGCTTTAGTTTCCTTTTTGAATTTCCAGAACTGAGTTCAGATCTTAAAAGATTTAATCACCATGGTGTGCAGAGAAAATGAAATTTAGGGAGTAGCAAATGAAAGCTTTGAGCAAGGGCCAGGCAACCCGGGGAGGGCTCGGTGGCCAGCGCAGGATCCCCAGGGGCTCTTCACCCTGGGAAGAAGGGCCCAGCTTCCTCCCTGGCACCCCATTCCTGCCCTCCCCACTGTAGACCCTTGCCCGCACCCATCTCCTAGCAGGCCTCAGAGACAGTTCCTCCCGGTGCTCAGCCACTCTAGCCCACTCCCCTCTCCCTCTTCCTCATTTCCTGGCTCCATCTAGGGAGTGAGCTTCAGAGCAGCCGGGCAGTGCGGCCATGTTCTCCACTGTACCCAGCCACAGAGCAGTGTCACCCGAAGAGGAGCCATCCAGCAGATGCCCTGAACGAGGAAGCAAGGAGCCCACCAAGGCCTGCCTCGGCCATTCCCGGAGGACCAAAGGGGTTCCACCAGAACCAGTCTGGGAACAGCTGCCAGGATCCCACCTGTGGATATTCACGTGCACATCTACACATCGAGGATCTAAGGTCCTGCCGCAAAGACAGCGGCTTAGCACTGCTGCCCCAGCATCCGCAGACTCAGGGACCAGGAACACGGTGGAGGACACCATGGACGCACACGTGAAGGTAAGGACTGGGGCTCTGCTGCATGGCTGGGTCGGATGTGATGCGGGAACACGATGGCAGGCTCAGTGTGTAAGTATGTGTGTCTGGGTGTGTCTGCGTGTCCATGTCTCTGTCTCTGTGTGTCAGTATGTGTTATATGTGTGTGTGCATGTGTCTGTATGTGCTGTGTTGTCTCTGTGTGTCTCTGTGGGTGGGTATGTGCTGTGTGTCTGTGTGTTGTCTATGTGTTGTGTGTGTCTGTGTATCTCTGTGTGTCCATGTGTGTTCAAATCTAAAAGTATGACTTTTAAATGTTGGTCTGGGTGGTGGCATTCATTAGGATTGATTTTCTTTGTTTATTTTATGAAAAACAAGTATTCCTTCTGAGTGTGTTTTTAAAATTAACACACTTATTTTTAAAAGAGAGAGAGAGAGAGAGAGAGAGAAGCTGGGGGCTTGAGAAGCTGACTTTACCTCTATCCTTCAGAGACGCTGCATTTGTTAGGAAACATGTTTGTTTTCTCCCAGTGCTGAGAGTCATCCACATTTAGTCATCCAACACAAAGCGCCCAAAAACAGGCAGGAGGAAGCAAGTGAACAAATCTCCCACAGTTGCAGGAGATGGTTTGACTTTAAATGGAGCAATGTCTAGTGACCCCTGACTCAGGGCAGAGTGAGCCCCTCTCCTGCGGGCTCCCCCCAAGACCACGCTCCTCAGGGCAGAGACCCTGTCTCCTTCATTCCGTGAACCCAGCACCCAGCCCTGGGTGGGGCACACGGTGAGTCCAGGAAGGGTCTACGCAGTGAGTGGCTAACTGGGGAATGAAAGAAGTGAGAAAGGAGGGATGGAGGGAGGGAAGAGGGGAGGGAGGAATTAATTAGTGGGCCCAGGAGGATGCTGGGCTCCTCGTTACCATGGAGACAGCCACTGGTGCACAGGCTGCACCAGGCACTGCAGGGTTAACAGTGGGCGGGGCTGAGCAAGAAGCCCCCACCCCACCACATAGGCCTAGTCTGCAGGGAGGCATCACCTGACCTGGAGGGGACATGGGCCCAGTCTGGGAGGACCTGGAAGTCTGCAGGCAACACCTCCTCCCCCTCGTCCAGCTGTGGTCCAGGTCTGGTCACACCCTGATCCCTCTGAATTCACCAGCCACGTCCTGGCCCCCTGTGTGGGGTGACCCCCTCCCTCTCCAGGAGTGGGCACTGCAGCACACTGCTGCCAGGTGCCCGGGAAGCCTCGCCACCCACCTCTGCTCCCATGGTGCAGCCCCCCACCCCAGCAGTGCATCTTGGCCCACGGGGTGGGGGCACAGATGTCAGCCCCTCTCACACTCCCAGGGGACCCCAGCAGGAGTAGGCTCATGGAGACAGACACCCAGAGACAGGCAGGCTGCAGGAAAACACGCATCAGTGGATGCTACATGTTTAGAAGTGAGCAAGGGAGAGAGGGAAGGAGAAACCCCACTGTCACCACCGAATGCACATTTCACGGCGGGCGGGTGCTGCTGGCGCCCAGTGTTTAAGATGGCACCATGCCTGCCCCGCGAAGGCGATGGCTCCTGCTGGCAGGGGAGCCTGGGATGCCAGGGCTCTGCAGAGAGGAAAGCCAGGATGCTGACAAGCACCTTTGGAGCAAAACGGTGCGGGGACAAGTGCCTCCCGGGGGCCTCACGCCTGACTGATCTGCCCCTGAAAACCCACCCACTACAGTGCAGCATGGGTCCTGCAAGCCCCCATCAGCCCCTGGGAGGTGGGGGCCAGGCTTCCTACCTGCACAGTGACCTGAGTCCACCCACTCCCTGCAGCTTGTGCCCGTGAGGGTGGACGTGCTCACCCTCAGCCAGTGGTCTGTCACCTGTTCCGGTGGCTCCGAAGAGCCCACTGTTGCCTGGCCGGGTGCTGGCACACTGGGCCGAGCTTCAGGCAGTGCCACCGCAGCTGCGGCAGCTCCTCTTCTGCGGAGCGAGGCTCGTCTCCGCCCTCGGCTCCCGCCTCGCACCACAGCGGAGGCTGCTCAGAGCTTTGCAGAGCCCGCCGCCGACTCATGCAGACTTGCCTCCCCGGCAGAGGCGAAAACAAAAGCATTAATCTTCCCTGCAAGGCCCTTTCTCCCCCACCACAGGCGAGGAGGAAAACCCAGACCTGTTCTGCTCCTGCTCCTGGCAGCTGGGACAGTCCCCTTCTGATAAACCGAGGGGCCCCACTCCCAGGCACCGAGCCCCCCATTCTGACTTGGCATTACATAGACATGAGGTGAACCCCACCCTCCCAATCCATCAAGGGGGCCACTGACTGCCCCATCAGTTATCACCAGGCCAGCACTGAGCTGGGGGTCCCTCCGAGATGGGGTCTTCCTGATGCCCTGACCACGGCCAGGCTCACCAGGTGCAGCACGTGCCCAGGGCCCAGAGGGGCAGAGCAGCAGGGATGGGTCAGTTCTGCCTCACCTAGGCCAGGGCCTCTCCGGTGCAGGGGCCACTGCCCACGGACGTCAGGAAGGTGGGTCGGGCTAGGCGCACGCACCTGCAGCCCTGACAGTGGTGGCCCAAGATGCACTCCCTTTAGGGCATTAGGCACAACAGGTGTTACGCTCTTAAGGCAAAAATGCAAACCCACATCGGTGCACCGGGAGAAGATGAGGGGTTCCAGGACAATCTGGGCAGCCAGGGCTCAAGTCGGGCTCTGCCACCTGCTCTCAGGTGGCCAATGGCCCAACATGTGGGCAGACCCAGCTAGATGCCCAGGCGAGTGGCAGGATGTGGTGCGTGTATGGTATAGGGTGGAAGCGCCCGCATTTGGTGTAGACCTGGGTGAGCTTCAGAGCCACCTGCATTTCAGAGGAAGAGCTTATGGTACGAGGAAATATGATACAATATTGAAAAATGCTTATGTACGAATCTGGAGGAAGTGAGGGGCAGTGAGAGGGATTGCAATGGGTGTGGCTGAGGGAGGGATTTGAAAGAAGGTGTTCTGAGGTCCAGGTGCACCTCTGCACTAGGTGCCTCAGAGGTGAAGAAAAGCATCTCAGTGTCCACTGTTCAATTCCACTCAAGCATCTGAAGCCCTCTCAGGTGCTGGGCACCTGCTGTGGGAACTGGAGAGGAGCCCTTGGAGACCCAGGGAGCACCCGTCCACCCTGTGCAGCCCGGCCTCTGCGGCAGCCAGAGGGGGCGCTCTAGATGCAGGTCCAGCCCAGGGTCCCCAGCCCCCCCAGGTGCCCTCTTCCTGCAGCCTCCTCCCCACTTGGCCTCCCGCCGGCTCTAGCAGGTCAGTGCATAGCCCCTCCCCATTCTCAGACCCTCTGGTCAGCTGTCCCTTCCCCACGGACCATGGGCCAGCCCAGGGATTGGGACACTCCATCTGCCTGTCCCAGCACCCAGCCCTAAGCCAAGGCAGCCCGCAGAGCAGGATGGGCCTGTGCATCACCTGGGCAGGGCCTGGTCCTGGGGCCATGGGATTTATTTCATTGAAGGAAACATAAAAAAGCGCACAGCACGTGTGATGTTCACACAGGGAACACGCCCACATACCTACCACCCAGGCCAAGAAACACAGCACTGTTGGTACCTAGAATGCCCCCATAATTGTCGATTACCCTGCCTGCCAGGTGACCACCCTGGGGACACAGTCCTGCTGTGGGGCCATGGGCATCACCCTCCCAGCCCCCTAGGTTCACTTCCCATCCTCCACACCTGAGTCCCAACCTGTATAGGAAAAGGCTGGGCCAAAAGATCTCAAGTCCTTCCCCCTCTCCGACTCTCTGAGTTTGAAAAGTGGCACAGGTGTGAGGCAGGCTTCCTGGAGGAGGTGGCACCGAGCAGGCCCCAGAAGGTGTCCTGCGGTGGTGTTGGGAGGAGGCGGAGGCGAAGGCTGGGTGGGACAGGTTGTCGCACAAACACACACAAACCTCACAGTAACTCCCAGGGAGCAGTACGGCCTCAGCTCAGAGAGGGCGGGGCCCCACCTACCTCCAGCACACGCCCTGTGATGTACTTCTCACAGCCGTCACAGCGGATGCCAAACTTGGCATGGTAGTCGGCTTCACAGTAGGGCAGCCCGTCCCTGCAATGAGACGGGCGCTCAGGACGGGGCAGGGTCACCCGAGGATAGCTGGTGCTTGCCCCAGGATCTGACAACTCTCCCCAGCCAGAGGGTCTGCATCGAAGTGGGGACATGCCCACCTTCTCCTGCTCCAAATAACAATCCCTCTAATAGGGAGCGTTCACTGGGTGCCTGCAGGCATCTGCCCCCATGAGAAATGCCCTGAAGACCGTCCCATTTCACAGATGGAGGGACCGAGGCGTGCAGAGGCAAGGCTGCTTGGCCAGTGTGGGGCCGAGGGGCTGGCGGCTGCCTGCAGAGGCTGGGCTGAGGGAGCAACAGCCACATCTGGGAAGTAAGAGATGCTTCCATAAACCTGGCTCTTTCTGGTTCCTCCCGTCCAAAGATCAGCATCTAGGGTACCTTAGAAAAATATGAGCCAGAGAGGGGGTACAGCAGGGCACCCACTTTGGGGACCAGGCTCAAGGATGACAAGAAGGCCAGGTGCAAGCAGGTGGGTTAGGCAGGTGCTTCCTGCTCCCAGGAAGTGGGGTGACAGGCAGGCTTTGGCCACATGCGTAGGCGCCCCGGCCTCCTGCTAGCAGGAAGGAGCAGGAGGCCACACGGCTGCATCTACTCTGCGCATCTTCACAGTGTGCCTCCTGCTCGCCAGGTGCCATCATGGTGTCAGGGAATCAGTGTCGGATGAGACAGTCATTCCAGGCCCTGCCCCTTGAGCGAGCTGCCTACACTCTGAGACTCCAATAATGAGCTGCAGGGAAAATAGCTCTCTGCTGCGTCACGGATGGGAGGATGATGCGGGCGTAGCTCCTGAGGCTAATTCAGAACCTTTCATAATCATTATTGAGGGACCAATATAACAGGACAATGCTGTGCAGATGGGGGAGTGAAGGGCAGAGGTGGCCCTGAGGTTCCCAAGTGGCCTCGCTCAGCAAAGGGAGATGCTGCTAAGCAGTGGTTAAGTGAATTGGCTCGGACTCAAATGCCACATACCAGCTGTGTGATCCTGGGCAAGTCACTTAACCTCTCTGAGCCTCAGCTTCCCCACCTAAAAAATGGGGGAAATCATACTAAGCACTAAACAAGAGAAGGTGGGACCAGAGCCTCGTACCTGGCAGGCCCCTGCCCACAGCAGTGAGTCCACTGTCATTACCAACCGGGCCCAGCAGGAGCTGGGTGTGGCATGGCCTGCACAGAGCGGAGCCCCGTTACTGCAGTACAGCCCCCTTTACACTGCCAAAGTGGCATGTTGTTCCAATTTGCTTTGATTTTCACACAGCTGCGACAGAAGGTAGATCTCCCAAGCTGTCAAGGAGTAGACTCGAATTAACGCCGCCCTCTTCTCACAGCTCTGGCATCGCCAGGCCCATGGGTGCCTCAACAGAGGAGGGCCCAGCATGGGGCCAGGACCCTGGGGCTGGGGCCCCTTTCCGAGTGTGGCCTCCAATTGAACCACGGCTCTCTGAGAAGCCATCTCTCAGCAGGGTGGCAGCCCTTCCTTCCACGTGAGGGAGAAGGTAGAAAATAGGTCCTTAGGACCCGCTTCCAAATGCCGCTGACCTTGGGCCCTCGTTATAATCCACAAATGGGTGCATGTGCAGCAAAGCCAGGAGGTTAAGGAAAACATCTCCATGGCAACGCTCACGCCCTCCTTGTCAGTTCTGGAATGGCTCTGGAGGCTGCTAAGTAACACGCTGGTGCGGGTGTGCTGCCAGCACCACGTGAGGACCTGAAGCCTGCTGGGAGATGGGTGCCCTCAATCCGCATCCCAGTGCTCTGCCTGTGTCTTGCACCCATTCGTTTGCTATGACAGAGTTCCAGGAGCTCAAGCCCCTTTAAGGCCCTCCACCCTGGTGCAAGCCCATCTTGGTGTGGGGATTTTACTTAAAATGACCCATTTGAGATAACTGTAGATTCCGTGCAGTTGTGAGAAACGACACAGAGAGGTCTACTCTGGCAGTGTTCCCCAGTGGTGATGTCCCGTAGAGTTAGAGAGTAGTTGACCAGAAGTTAACATGGGACATCAGGCACATTGTTCAGACTCCGTGTTACCCACATTCACACGTGTGTGCATGCGTGTGTATGTGTGTGTGCGTGTGTGCACTTCGTTCTTTGCATTTTATCACAGGACTTTTTCAACTCGGTCAATTCCTGTGACGATTCTGTTCCCTAGGAGCATTCAGAACAAGTGCAGCCTTTGCCAAAACTTGCTGGAAGAGCCTCTCCCTCCCAGGAGGGAGCCCTGGCTGCTCTCTAGTTCATGCGTTACGTCGCCGTCTCCTGTGCTGTTTGGGGGCAGCCGGCCCAGCTCCTGACCTCCCCGGGTGGAGACACATGCCAGCTCCTGGCCTCGAGCCGCCTCTGCTCATGGCCATGACCTTCCCAGAAAGCTCCCCCACTGCCCCGATAAAACCTTGCTCCTCTGTCCCCCAAACCAGCCACCACCCCAGCTGGACTGCACATCTGGGGGGACACTGTTCCAGCAGGAGCTGCCCAGGGGCCCCTGCCCCACAGGAGACAGAGCACAGTCATGCAGTCCTTCCCTGACAACGGAGACGGGTCAGCCTCTTCTTCCTCATTCCTGTTGCTGACACTGCTTTGCTCTCTGCAGGACAACTGCAGGACAAGAGTAGCCTCACGAGGGACAGGAGACATGGCAGGAGAGCTGGGACCCAGCCCCACCCCCAGAACAAGGAAGGCCGAGCTGATGATTTCCTTGGGGCCCTCACCCCCACATACTTGCTGATGTACTCAGCATTCAGGAGCTTCCCGCAGGTCTTGCACTTAAAACAGCCCAGATGCCAGTGCTTGTCCAAAGCCACCAGGGCCTGGCCATTCTTGATCTCTGCGCCACAGCCCCCGCAACCTGGAGGAAAGAGAACAGAAACAGACATCCTCACCACGGGCGGAGAGGCACATGTTGGGGCTCACAGGGGCACACGAGGTGAACCGGGGGAAGAGGTGCCTGCCACCATGGCTCTCCAGACCCTGGGAACGCACCCGGAGCAGCGGGAGGGGAGAGACAGAAGAGACTCCCAAAGCCAGTGAGTGGCAGGACCCTATTACACCGCAGCCCATGGGAGCATGTGGAAAACAAATCATGAGGTTTGCTCCTGCATACATTGGGTGCCCACTGTGTGCATCCTGGGCTAGGAGCTGGGGAAACTGAGGCCCTCCCTTCCAGAAGATTGGAGTGGGCTCTGGCAGAGGTGTGTACTCAGACAAGAGCACATGGGGTGGGGGATGGCCAGGAAGGGAGGGTCCAGGCAACCAGAGCTCTGACAATGGTGGGTCTGGGTGGCCCTGCTTGTCCTCTGCTGGAAGGCGGAACTCTGAGCCTAACCATGACCCAAGGTGCCCACCAGAGGGAAATGTGCCACATGGGAGAGGCCTGAGTCCCCAGCCCTGAGTCAGACTCAGGGATTCCTTCCTCTGCACCCAGCCAGCCAATTGACCTCTCTCTGCTGTCCTTCCCTGTGGTGACCAGTGCTCTCCATGGCAAGGCCACCAGCCTAGTGGGCCCATGGCTGCCTCCTCTTACCCCACCCCCCAGCCATGCTTCCCCTACTCACACGCCCCTGCACACAGGGCCTCAGTCCCAGCCCCGCCCTGCAGAGCCAGTGGCCCAGGGTCCCTGCAGCCCATGAGCAGCTATATTGCGGGCTCCACAGCCAGGGTCACGTGTGCTGAAGACAGTGGGGGCCCTGCAGGGACGTGGAGCAGGCGGGGAGAGCCGGGGAGACTCTGGCGCCGGGGCCTGCACAGGGAGTCTGTGTGAGTGTGTGAGCATCTATGTGCAGGAGTGTGCAGCTGCGTGTATGTGTGTGTCACCTGAGTCTTCACGTGAATGTGTGTCTGTGCATGACTATGTGCCTGTGTGCGTGTCTGTGTACATGAGGGTGTCTGAATGTGAAGGTGTGCGTGTCTGTGTGAGTGTGTGTATGTGTGTGTGGTAGGGTGTGTCTGTGTGTGTGTGTCCAGTGTGTGTCGGTGTGTGGGAGGGTGTGTGTGGGAGGGTGTGTGTCTGTGTGTGGGAGGGTGTGTGTGTGGGGGGGAGGGTGTGTGTCGGTGTGTGGGTGTGTGTCTGTGTGTGGGAGGGTGTCTGTGTGTGGGAGGGTGTCTGTGTGTGGGGGGAGGGCGTGTCTGTGGGAGGGTGTGTGTGTGTGTGGGAGGGTGTGTGTGTGTGTGGGAGGGTGTGTGTGTGTGTGGGAGGGTGTGTGTGTGGGAGGGTGTGTGTCGGTGTGTGGGGGTGTCTGTGGGAGGGTTCTGTGTGTGGGAGGGTGTGTGTCTGTGTGGGTGTGTCTGTGTGTGTGTGAGTGTGTGTGTGAGTGTGTGTGTGTGTGTGTGTGTGTGTGGGTGTGGGTGCGCGCGCGCGCGAGGTGCGGCTGTGTGTCGGGAGCGCGACGCGGGCGCGGCTTGGGATCCCGAGCCGCGCAGAAGGGAGAGGCGTCTGGCCGGCGCGTGCCCAAGTCCTCGGTGACCAGTGCGGACGGAGCCAGTGAGGCCACGCTTGCCTCGCAGGCCGGGGGCGCCACAGACGCTTTCGCACACACGCCTTTGTTGTTCTCTTTGGCGGAGACCAGAATCATACCGTTTTTGAGGATAAAAAAAATTAACACCCACGAAGCTGCGGGTCGACCTCTGCATTTCCTAAATTACCGCCTGTCCGCATTCCCGCGGAGCTCTGGGAAACAAGTGGGAACGGTTCTAACTCCAGAGGGGCCTGAGGGGCAGGGTCTTATTCGCCTCCGGCCCTGGAGGCCCGGTGCAGGCGGGAGGCGGGGGGGCTCCAGAATGAACAACGAATGGGGCCAGGAGACGGGATGCCCCCCAGCCCGAGTCCAGGAGGCACCCGTGCCCCCCCCCCAAGACCCTTCCCACTCTCCACTCCCTGTCATGACAGAGACGAGACAGCCACCAGGTCGAGCTCTGCACCTCAGCACTCCCACTCACGGGATGACTGGCACATTTCGTAAGCTCTTATTTGGGGGCAGTCTTGCTCCCCAGGGGACATCTAACAATGTCTGGAGACCCTTCTGCTTATCACTACCTGGGGTAGGGGGCTCAGACGTGTAGTGGGCAGGGCCACCACCCACCCGAAATCCGCAGTGCACGGGACAGCCCCCATGACGAAGGAGTCTGGGTCCAAGTGTGAACAGTGCTGAGGCTGAGAAACCTTGCTCCGAGCCTTGGGTGGCTTCTCTGCTAGTGGGCACACCAAGGCAGCACGCCACACCAGACTGTGGCGATGACCAGAGGACAGGCAGCAGAGAGCAGTGGTCACATCCTGGCTCTGCCCCCCACCTGCTGTGTGGCTGTGGGCCAGTCACTTCACTTCTCTGGGCTCCAGTAAAGTGGGGACACGCTTTATGGTGACCAGAAGAGTACCATCCTCCTAGAGAGCTGACGTGGGTGCAGGGCCCCGAGTGAGGGCGTGTTTGATAAACGAATGAATGCACGTGCGGTGACAGCCACTCAGTCAGTCCAGCTCTGCTGTAGTTATCACTACTGCAGCCATGCCTCCGGGAAGCTGTCGCAGGCATCTCCGCCACTCTGCCTCCTACCAGATTAGGGGGCTCCCTCCCCTCCCTATGCCTGACCTTGCTCGGCAGGAGGGATGGGGACCTCACACCCGCCCACCCTGTTCTTCTGTCAACTAGAGAGCAGCGAGTGTGGAGACAAGAGCAAGGTGCAAAAAGGGATGTTGTCATGGAAACCGCAATCACCACTTTCTAACACATCTGGAGCTCAGCACAGCTTTGCCTGGGTACGAACGGCAGGCAGTACAGGATCTTGTGTGACGAACATGGCAGGCCAATGCTGTCAGTGGCAGGATATCCCTAGAATAGCGTGAGGGGGCCTGAGGGGGCCCTGAAGTGAGCTGTCCATTTACCCATGCACCCTGGGCCTGGCTCTCTTCCCCGCATGACCCTTCTAGAACCTTCCAGTTTCCTGTTTCCCCAAAGTGCTCCCTTTCCCAGAAGATACGGTCATGGGTTTGAGGACCAGGCCCCTGCAGCACTTCAGGTCTGATCGGGGCCAGGGAAGTCAGGGAGAGGCTCAGATTCCCAGTCGAATCTGAGATTGAGTTTTGGAAATGAGGAATCCGACAGAGTTCCAAAACTTGGTAATGACTGAGAATTCATGAACTTGGCTGGAGATTTCATTTGGGAGCCGTGGTGAGCACAGAGAGCCCAGAGCAGCCACAGGGAAAGATGAGGCACAGCCAAGTTAGCCCTAGTGCCTGCAGGTCCTGGCTAGACTGGGGACGCAGCGCCACATTGTGGGCCAGAGTGGGAGGAGGGGTGGGGGCTTCTGGGGCTGGCTCCTCAGGTCACCTCCACCCTCGCGCAGGAGGGGACTTGTGAGGTGGGGGCTGCAGATCCTGCCACTGCCCTTGTAGCACCCGTGCAGCCTCATATGAGCAGAAAACACAGGGGCTCCAAGTGCCACGGCCCAGGTGGTAAAGCTGTCACCCTGTCCTTGGCCTGGGATCCCAGGTCTCCACATGCCTCTTCCTGCCCCTGCATTCCTGACTCTAGCAGGGTCTCCCCATGTCCCAGCTCCAGGTGTGACACCCTCCATGCCAAGCCGGGCTGGGACCCAGCCAGTGGAGCTACAGAGCTGGGAGGTGGCCAAGCCTGAGAACTGGCCACAGGGGCCTCTCAGCAGGTCCCCAGCCCAAGCCCTGTCTCTTCAGCCTCTAGGATGCTCTCCAGACCACCACCCACAACCCTCGCAGACCCCACGCCCATACCACAGGCCATGTCTTGCCCTGGCACATGGTGGGGAGTGCTCAGAGCCGCCCCCTAGTCAGCACAGGGCTTGGCCTCTCCAAGGGCCACCCTGTGACCAATGCCTGGTGACCAGCTCCTGTCCAGCAATGGGCTCAGTGCTGAAGAGCTGGGAGGAGGCTGGAGGGGAGCAGAGGGGGCCTTGTGGGGCAGAGCAGTGCTTCAGGGACAGAGGGGACTCTCCACGGTGCAGTGGGGGCACTCAGGCATGCAGGGTGCCGGATGTGCTCCTCCCGGGAAGGAGAACCGCATGGCCTAGCCTGAAGCATTTCTTGTCACTAAGCTACAGGCTCAGGAGGGCTGAGGGAAGCTCAGGGCCAAGGGACCCTAGCTGGAGCCCTACCAAAAGAGCTAACCACTGTCCACTTCCCAAGGGAGGGGCAGCGGCACAGGTGGCTGTGTCGGTGGCTGCAGAAGGGCTTTACTCCCGCATGCGGGCCCTGGCCACCTGGCCAGGAGCACTGTACTGCCAGGCTGCTTCCCAGCCTCAGGACCGATCTTGGCACTCCCCCACTCAGTAACCTTCTGTGGCTCCTCACTGCCTCCAGGATACACGCTCCGTGGTACGGCTTTGGGGGAAGGCCGCCATCTGGTTTCCATATCGCGAGCATCACTCCCATGCTCCAGCCCACACTACGGTCCTTTTGTCCACTCGCACGGTCTGGGGGTGCCCCAGCACATTCCACGGTTTTCTAGTCTTTGCACCTGTTCTCACCTGAGTACCTTCCCTTCCAACCCACCCACTGAAATGCACCTGTGTCTCAAGTTTCAGAACAAAGAGCACCTCCTTGGACGGTCACTGTAGAAGAAAAAGAGCTCCTCCTGGCAGGCACTCTAGGGACAGAAGGAGGCAGGGGCGGGAAACTGTAGACATCAGCACAGGAGCCAAGGGCTAGTGATTGGTGTTAATGTTTCCTAAGCACAGAAATGATCTAAGCTCAGGATTCTCTCCATGGGCTGGGAGAAGGGGCAGGTTAAATTATTAGATTGTTTGGGGATCAGGGGAGCATTTATTCTTTGAAAATGCAAATTTGATATTTTAAAATAAATTTACATTTGGAAAGGGCAAAGCCTTTCTGCCAAGGATATTTTTTAAAATCTCAAAAAAAAAAAAAAATCTCAGATGATGATTCTGTGGTCCATCATGTTTCCCTTTTTACTTTGGTTGCCAGGAAGCTCTTGGCAAACTGTACAACACTAATCCCCCCCTTTTTAAATTTTGCTGAGCTTTTGATTACTATTTGATATTGAATTATAATAGTACTACTGTTTGTGAAGCAAATTCTCAAAAGTTCTATCAATCTAGGCTTCAGCTGGAAATTTTTGAATGGAGGACTCTCCTAGCAAGGCCCAAAGCAACAACCTCACCACCTGGTGCTGCTGTTGAGTTTGCCTCTCCAAAGGATGAAGGCTTCACTTCATCTCACAGAGGAAAACTATTCCCAGCTCCCAGAGCTGACACTGAGCTCCCAAGAGGCTGGTGGTGGAGTCATCTCTGTAGAGACTTCGACATGGCAGATGAGGTGGGAGAAAGAAAGTGTTTGACATGGAGAGGAATTAACCACGGGTAGGGGCTGGCTCTGGAAATCAGCGGAAAGCCCTCCTCTATCGTGGGACATGTGGCCCTGTCTCTGGGGACACCACAGTGACCACGGCACTCAGGGTGGGCTCTGGAAATGCAGCCTTTGCAGTGGGCACCTGGGAGCCAGGTCCTGGTGTACAGGCCTCCACCCCAGTGCCACGTCCCGTCTCTTTCCCCGATGAGCCCTGGGCTGGGAAAGGCCACCTTGCTGCCCCTGCCTTGCTGTCACTCTGCCCCACACCCACAGACCTGTGACTCTCCAGTGGGCCTTTGTTCTTTTACAGTAATGGCCTCCTGCTTCCTTGTTCAAGAAGCATGTATTGAGCCCCCACTGCATACACACCTAGCCTAGCTCCTGGGTGGCGGAGCAGGGAGCCCGAGAGCCCCTGACCACGGGAGCCCAGAGCTCAGTGCTTGACTCTACGCTCCCCCAGAGGGTTTCTAGGTGGCCTGGAATTAACTGAGGGGAGCTGAGCATGAGTGCCAGAGGGAGGGGACCAGAAGGAGACCAGGAAGCCTTCCTTGAGGAGGTGGGCTGCAGCCGGGCAAAGCAAGAGTGGGGTTGGATGGGAAAGCAGGAGCCACAACACGGAGCGCGGGCACAGCCTGTGCAAAGTCGTGGCGGCATGAGAGCCCAGAGACTTTTGCTCCTGGCTGCCTTCCTCACGTTTATCCACAGCCACTCACTGCGACCGCCTCTGCTTTGGGGCCCAGTTTGTCAGGCTCCCGTTGCCAGGCACTGCGGAGGCCACCCCACCCTGCCACTCAGCACCCACCCCCACACCCCTCAGTGCCCACTTACTCCGGAGGCCCTGGGACAGGTGCGCGCTGCTGCCCACCGACGTGGGCAGGGAGCACTTCTGGCATATGCATTCCTTCCCGTTGAAGGTCACTCGGTCCCCGGGTGGAAAGGGCAGCCTGAAACAAGAGAGCTCGTCACCAGCCAGGCCCACCTTCCGACCCTGAGCACAATACCACGGCCACCCCCCAGGGCCTCGGAGAGATGGGTGCCACAGGCCCAAGACGCAGGGCCTCCCCCGCCAGGCACTGCTGTGTCCCTGCTAGTGGGATCTCAGGTAGTCACTGACCTCTGAGCCTCAGTTTCCTTATCTGTACACACAGGCAGGATCACAGTGCTTGAGGCTGTGGAAAGACCCGCTGAGGGCCAGCCCGGAGCTTGGCACATGGCAATCAGCCGGGCTGCCTGGACCCCTGGCCTCCCCCAGCCCACCCTGCCGTCTGCCCACACAGGGTCTTTGTTCACGCCAGTCCGATCCTGATGGCTGTAGCCGCCGCCGACTGAGCATCCACTGTGTGCCAGGAGCCAGGCGCTACAGCAGATACCGTATATGCTGCCTCCTTTAATGACTTTAGGACATTTGTTCAAGTTGGTATGTGCTTCGCTTTCTCTCTGTAGGTGAGAAACTGATGTTCAGAAAGGATACTTAACTTTTCCAAGGACACACAGCTGACACGTGTCAGAGCCAGAGTCAAACCAAGACCTGTCTGGCTCCAAAGTTCCACGATTTAACTACGTGGACCCCTAAGAGGGCAGTGTCCTCGAAGAAGTCAAGGGGCTGTACAATCAGATCCTGTCTTTATTTAAAATTCTGGCATTTTGTTCAAAATGGATTATTTTGCATTCATTTCAATTTTTAAAACTACTGCATTAAAACATCATTTACCTTGATTACTGAGTTTTTGGTGCTCTCTTAAATTCTGCATCCAAATCGAGTGCCTAGAGGGAGGCTGGGTGTGGGGCAGCAAAGACCCCCACCCCGCAGCTCTGAGGACTTCTCCTTTGAGACTGAGAGATGGCTCCGGTCGCTGCTGTCTGGCAAGCCGAGGCCAGGCCTCCTGCAGACAGGGGCCAGAAGCACACCCTAAGACATGTCTGTCCTGGACACCTGCTGCCACTGAGCTGCTGGCAGCCGCTGGGCCACCGCCTTCGCAAGCTCAGCCTGGCTAGAGGACCTGGTGCCTCTGTGGGCAGAAGGCTGCAGAAGGACCAGGACGTGTCCCTTTGAGCCCCCTGCTTCAACACCTCCTTGCGCTTCCAGACCCCAGGCACTCAAGAGATAGTGGATTCATTGTTGAGTGAGTGAGAGAATGAATGAATGCACAAGTAAAGGGCTGACGCTTCCCCAGGAGGCTGAGCTCAGCCTGCTCTCTCCTGTGGGGCTGTGGCCCCACCTCCCCGATGGGCTGAGCCTCCTCTGATAAAGCCCAGCTGTAGTCCCCTACTGTATGGGGCTGGCATTCAGGGCCCTTGTTCACGCAGCAGGTGTGTTCTTGGGCTCCAATTCGGCCAATTCCTGCTCTTGGGGACCCAGGAGAAATACAGGCTGAGCTGGGCCCAGGGCCCCAGGCTTGTTGGATGGTCCTGCAGTCCTCTCACCCGCCACCTGTCCTGGGGCCTCTGCAGCCCTCTGAGGCCTTGTGCTTGGCCTTCCGCACTAGCACTGTGGTCTGCCTCCCCCGTCTCAGAGTCTTGCAGCCTCCTGGAGATGGTGGACCTTGGGACAGAGGGGGAGCCCCCATCCCTAGATGTGCTCTGAGCGAATCTCTGGTGGATAACACAGAGCACGTTACTCGACTTCTCTGAATCCTGTCTCTCACCCATAAAATGGGCCCAATAACACCTGCATCGCAGGGGTGTCAGTCATTCATTCGTTCACTCATCCATTGGACGTACAGCATGGCAAGCTTGAGCATACTGCCTGTACCCGGGGTGCGGAGCTGAGCAAGGTAGCTATCATTTTATTTATTCAACTTTATTGAGGTTCATCTTGACACATGTACACACCCACGTAACCACCACCACTATCAAAATATAGAATATTTTGTCCTCCACAAAAAGTCCCCTGTGACTGTCCACAATCACCCCCACCCCCACCCCCGGCCCCAGGCACCGTGGTCAGCTTTGTCACCATGGACAGATTTGTCTCTTCTGGAACTGCACGTAAGTGAATCATGTTGCAGGTAGTCTTTGGTGTTTGTGCAGCACAACATTTCTGAGGTTCGCCCACGTTGCACATACAACAGTTTGCTCCTTTTTATGGCTGAGTGTGCGTGGCTAAACCACAGCAGGTATTCCACTCAACAGTTGAAGGGCATTTGGGTCATTTCCAGTTTGGGGCTGTTACATATAAAGCTGCTAAGAACATTTGCCGACAAATCTTTCTGTAGACATATGCTTTCATTCCTCTTGGGTAAATACACAAGAGTGGGATTTCTGATCATATGCTAAGTGTATATTTAACTTTATAAGAAACTGCCAAACTAGGTTCCATAGGAGCTGCACCATTTTGCATTAACAACAATGCATGAGAATTCCTTTTGCTTTGCGTCCTCACCAACACTTGTCAGTATCCACCTTTCTGGTTTAGCCACTCTAGCGGACGTATGACGGCATTTCACTGCGGCTTCGATTGCGTCCCCTGATGACTAATGATGTGAAGCCCTGTTTAATGTATTTGTTGGTCATTCATATCTATTCTTTTGTGAAGTCTCTGTTAACTCTTTTGCCCATTTTTATCCATTTTTTTGTTCTTCTTATTATCAAGTTGTAAAAGTTCTTTGGGTACTTTGTATACCAGTCCTACATCAGACTTACGTGTCTAATTGTTCTCCACCAGCTGATGATTGGCTTTCACATTTGTTCATTTCGTATTTCCTCCAGCCTACAAAACTGCCTGTAACTTTATTGTGCAGATCTGCTGGCGACAAATTCTCTTAACTTTTGTGTATCTAAAACAGTCTTTATATTTTCTTCATTTTTTTGGTAACAGTTTATTGACATTTATTTTATTCATATACAATATAATGTACAATTCATTGGGTTTTTGTGTATTCAGAGCTGTGCAACCATCACCAGAATCAATTTTAGAACATATTTGTCACCTGCAAAAGAAACCCCATACACTTTAGCGTCTCATCTTCATTTTTGAAAGGTTTTTTTCCTTGGTATTGAATTGTTTGATAGGTATTTTTCATTCGGCACTTTAGAGATGTCGTTCTATTGTTTTCTAGCATGCATAGTTTCTGATGAGGATTCTGTAGTCATTCTTTTGTTCTTCTGTAGATATTTTTTTCTCTTGCTGCTTTTAAGATTTTGTTATCACTGGTTTTAAGCAATTAGATTATAATGGATGATATGGTTTGGATGTTCGGTCCCTCCAAACCTCATGTCAAAATCTGGTCCCCAGAGTTGGAGGTAGGGCTTGGTGGGAGGTGTTTGGGGTCATGGGGGCAGATGACCCATGAAAGGTGCCCCCCCCATAATGAGTGAGTTCTCACTTTATTAGTTCACACGAGAGGAGGCTGGCACTGCCTCCTCCCTCTCTTGTGCCCACTCTCGCCATGTGACACCTGCTCCCCCTTCACCTTCCCCCTTCACTGGAAGCTTCCTGAAGCCCTCACAGAAGCAGATGCTGGTGCCACCTTTGTACAGTCTGCAGAACCGTGAGCCAAAATACTTCTTTTTCAAAACAAATTACCAGCCTCAGGTATTTCCTTTATATGGACTATAATGCAAAATGGACCAACACACCGGAGTTGGTAGGTTTTTGCTGTGTTTATTCTGCTTGGGGTCCACTGAGATTGTTGGATCCATGGGTTAATAGTTTTCATCAAGTTTGGAAAATTTTCAGCCAGTATTTCTTCAAATATTTTTTGGTCTCCCCCCAACCTAGATAGACAGACAGATCTATATCTACAGATTACTGAGTCACTTTTCGTGTTTTTCAGTCTTCTTGTTCTCTCTTTGCTTACGTTAAAGGGTTTCTATTGCTGTGTCTGATCTTTGCTTCTGCAATACCCAATCTCCTGTGATGCCTTCTAGGGAATTTTCCATTTCGGGAACTGTATTTTTCATTTCTGGAAGCTCCATTGGTATCTTTTTATATCTTCCATAACTCTCCTGCTTATGTTCATGTTTCCTTTAAATATGTAAAGATATTTATAATAGCTATTTTAAAGTCATTGTCTGCTAATTTCACCATTGCTATAAAATCTGGGTTTACTGTTATCGACTGATCTTCTGGCTTTGTTTCACATTTTCCAGTGTCTTTTTATGACTAGTGGTTTTTGATTGGACGTTGTATATTGGAAATTTTATGCTGTTGAGTGCTGGGTTTTTTTTTTTTATCTTCCTGTGAAAAGCACTGGGCTTTGCTCGGGCAGGCGATTGGTGTATGTGCAGGGGCAGCGTGGTCTCCTTGAGGCTTGTTTTGTGCTTTGTGAGAGCATGTTCATTGCAGCCTTCGCTCCAGGCTACTCTGGTCCTGTCGGCAAGGCTGGCCCTTTTGGTGTCCCTCCTCCATGCCCTGGCTGTCCAGCAAGGAATCTCCACTCTGGTCAGAGCTCGGAGGTTTCCCGAACCTGAGAACTGTTTATTTTACAGCAACCCTGTCATTCTTTGCCCCACCTTGTGGCATGTCCTCTATGTCTGTGTGGCTTTGTGTTCGGTCAGACGCTCACAGGCAGCCATGCAGATCTCCAGAGCTCTTGCTCTGCACTGCCCTCTCCCCTCTGGACTCTCACCTTATACCTTCCTGCGGCCTCTGCCCTCCCAGCCAGTGCCTCCTGCCTCAGGAGGGTGCCATGCTCTGCCTGGGCTCTCGTCCTTGTCCTGGCCTTCAAGACACTGCCTCCAGTCAGAAAACTGCTGATCACGGGGCTCATTTTGCTTTTTCCTTCTCTTAATCCTGAGCTGCCTGTGCTCTGACATCTGGAAACAGTTGTTTCATATAGTTTGTCCAGTTTTCTAGTTGTCTGTGGCAGGTAGATGAGTCCAGCCCCAGTTACTCCAACACAACCAGAACTGTCTGCTATTATTTTTAAAATAGTGGCTTGTCCAGAGATGCTCTTTCAAACCAACTGTCAGCTTGTCAGCCCTCATCTCTAAGCTGTGTACACAAAGATCACACATTCAGATAATCCCTGGGAGAGCTCTGACCCAAGTCACGCTGCAGTGACACACAGTGACTCTTCCGCCAGAAATGTTCCTTGTCGGTGCCACCTCCTCTCCTCGGCCTCCTCCGACAAAGGCTCCATTTCTGTCTTGGGCACATGCTGTAGCTACAGAGAACTGCTTTGGAAACAACATTGAAAGAGTCCCCTGAAAACTGGGTGTGGTGAGACAGGGAGAACAGAGCAGAAAATGAACCGTTTTTTATTTTTTTATTCTTTGTTTTCTAGAAATGGAACATTTCCCTTGGGAGGAACGAGTGGGGGTTTGTGGAGAGGGAGGGAGGAAGCAGGCACGTGGGAAGGCACCTGCCGGCCTCCCGCTCAGCCCAGGAGACCCAGCCCCTCGCAGTGGTCACTCACTGTGCCCTTGCTCTGTGCCGGGCACCGGGGACCAGGGAGCATCAGACAGCCCTGGGCTCAGGGCGCTCCCTGGGATGTGGCCATAGTGCCAGGAGAGGACGTGGTGGGGGTGAGAGGAGGGGAGGGAGGACGGGTGGACCGGGGGCTCCAGGAGGCCGGGCAGCGCCCACTCACCGGCAGACCGCGCACACGAAGCAGTCGGGGTGGTAGGTCTTGCCCAGCGCGGACACCACCTCGCCCTCAATGAACTGGTCGCAGCTGAAGCAGCGGGTGCCGTAGAGCCTCTGGTAGTCCAGCGTGCAGATGTACTCGCCCTGCCGCACGAAGAAGCCACCCTCGGCCAGGTCGCAGCCGCATGCTGGGGGAGAGGAGGGGATGGTGAGGTGGCGTTGGCAGCAGAGGTGACCATCCCACGTCCCCACAGCCCCAGGGAGAGCCCCCTCCACACACACGCCCCACCTGACGCAGGCCTTGCCACAAACTCAGGGGCCTCGCTCAAACTTTGGGGGGCCAGGCTCCACGGATAGATTTCAGCTCTGTCCCCTGGGCCTGGAACGGAGTGAACTTACCTTTAGGAAGCTTCTGGAAAGGGGTACTGACCCAGGATAGGAACCAGACTACCTGGAGGGGCCAGTCCCCCGACCTCGCTAGGCACTCCCTAAGCCTCCCAGACCCCACCAAGGATTCCCCATGAGCCCCTTCCCAGCTCCAGGTGGGCTGTTGCCAGCACCGGATATAACAGATTGGGAGAGAGGTAAAAACCTGAGTGCCTACTATGCGTGAGAGCCCATGGGAGGACTGGGAGGACAGACGAGGTCCCCATGGTGGGTCTACCCAGTCTACCTTGGGGCTTCCCAAGCCACCCCCCAATCTTCTGGTCTTCACGTCCTCACAGCCCTTGGCCATGATGTGGACAAGTCCAGATGCCCCTCAGGACTTCGAGAGCCTGGGGATACCTGAATGTCAATCATTCTTGTCCCTGTCCCCCAGCACACACCTGCTCCAGGAAGCTGATACCGTAGAGCCCTGGGGAGGGGCCAAGGGAACTCTGCCGGGTGGAGAACGGAGCACCCAACCTTGGGACAGCCTGCCAGCTACCAACAGCTCAGAAGCCCTGAACAGGTGTCCCAGGAACACATGCACATTCCCCCCACACGCTCTCCCTCCAGTGCCGGGACACGTGGGAGTTATGCACGGTTTCGGAGACAGCAGCCTATGGCCTGCCCTGGCTGGCCACCGCCCCAGAGGAAGCCCCTGCAGCCTCAGCCCCGCTGGCCTCGTCGGCCCAGGGTCCTGATAGCGTAGAGCATCTCACAGCCCCTGAGCCAGAGTTTTGAAAACCCAGGTAGCCCTTGTACATGTTAAAGTTGACACGTGAAAGGCTGTAATTCTGCATAATGTAAATATGGGACCTTTCAATTTAACCGTTCCGTCGTCCTTTGAGGGGAGCCAGTGGAATGCCGATGACAAAGCAAGACAACTGATGTCCATGTACAAAACCTGTGACCAAGATCTTGCAACCAGTTACAGCCACACAGCAGCTGCTCAGCCTTCGTTCCCGGACCTAGTCACTTCCACTTCTCCAAGGAGAGAGAGGTCAGCTTTCCTGACCAGGCGAGACATAAAGCCAAGCAGCTGAGAGCCGGGCCCTGGAGCTGCCTGGATTCGAATCCCAGCTCCTCGTCTAGACAACAGGACCTCCTTTGAAGGTGTACTGGTGACCCAGACGGGCACCCCGTGAGCTGGTGCAATGTGAGCCTCAGTCGTGCCGGCCACCAGCCAGGCCTGCAGCTGCCGCGGTCATGGCGGGCTCTGAATTCCTCCTCAACACCCGGTCTGAGCAGGAAAATCTTTGTTTAATCTTGCACCATGTCTTAGACCAAGCAAATGCATCCCGACTCGGGAAGAACAGACTATTTGGGACCTTACTTGGGAGAGTTACAGTATTTTTATGTAAACGCCACCTGTACCAAGACAGAGGAGGGGACGGTCACAGCACTCACAGCTCTGGCATTTGGCTACTTTTCTATTCTTCATAAAGATGTGATGACATCAGCTGTTCCTTGAAGGAGAAGAATGTGGCAGTGGTTCTGGTGCCCACTGAAACGGCGTAGTCTACGTCACAGGGCCCTGGGAGCAGGAGCAAAGACAGCATCCCAGCCAGGCGCTCCACTATCGGGGAGACACCTGGTCCGATGCCAGCTGCCCCGAGAATGCTAAGGTCACCGCAAGGCAGACAAAACCCAGACCTCTGCCTGCTAAAAGGAAAAAGTCCAGATTCCCTAGGAATTTTAGAAACCCATGTCAAGATAAGACACTATTATTATATTACATTTTGCAATATATGAAATTAGCAAACACACTGGAGAGAGGCAGAGCAGGGTGGGTGACACTGAGCACTGTTTTTTGGGCACACACTGGGGTCATTTACAAGAAACAGGAGAGGGCAGGGAACAGTGGGAAAAATTCGTACTACTTTCTGAAATATCCTTTGGCACCGACGCTAAAGAATGTTGAAACTGCTTCTGCCCTTTGACCTCGTGTCCCTCTCCTGGGATCTATCCCAAGGAAGTGATCATGAATACCCATAGAAGTTCAGTCGCAAGGTGTTCCCTGCAGCATCACTATTAGTATAACGCAGTGAATAAATGCCTGGGCTTTAGAGTCAGGCAGCCTGGGTCTGAATCCTCACTCCCACTTCTTCCCAGCTGTGTGACCCTGGGCAAGTTAATTAAACTCTCTGAACCTCATAGTCCTCACCTCTGAAATAGAGTTGCAATACTGATCTTGCATGGTTGTTGTAAGAAATAAATGAGATGGGGTATAAAAAGCCGATTAGCCCTGCATCCTCCTGGAAATGACTTAAATGTCCAACAATGGAGGAATGATTACCAAGCTTACCATGGCTATGCATTTGAAGGGATTTGGGAAGATACTGACATGCATGTCGAAGAATCTATATGATGGGGATAGTGCTTACGCAGTAGTTTGAAGTAAATAAATTATGACACAAAATTAGGTATAGAGCATGCTTCACATTTTAAAAAAGACTCATACAACGGAAACGGTTGTAAAAATATATACCAAAAAACTCTAATAGTAACCACGCGGGGAGGTTTTCCCCTCTCTCCTCCGTACTTTTCTACTTCATGGGTGGGGCATCAAGTACCATTAATGCACAAGGGAAACCGAGAACTCCAGGGGCCTTATCCCGAGCGAGTGGCTCCAGGGCTGGCCGGTCACTGCAGCCCCCGGCTTGGCCCAGCCTCTGCCTCAGACTCCCCTCCTGTAAATGACAGGGCAGATGTCACCTGAGATCCCTTCCTGCTGTGACTGTCACAACTCTGCCATGAGATCCTGTTGGGCCAGGCTGTGCAGAACGAGGAGTGCCCTGGGCTAGGGGCCGAGGCACACCTGTCTGGGGCTTCCTGTGGGGCTGTGTATCATAAACGCCCCTGAACGTCCAGGAAGGCGGGCATGCAGGCATGCTGCAACATCCCCTCTCACTCCCCGTTGCCTAGAGCAAGCGGCTATTTATAGTCCCAGATGGACATGTCCCCACTGACAGCTCCACCCGTGTTACCAAGTTACAGGCGACTCACGCTGTCCTCCCTGGACCCGCACCCCTCCCTCCCTGCCTGCTTTCTTGGCTCTTGCTAAAATCGTGGACTTGCTCAGTTCTGCTGCTAATCAGACCAGAAAACGCCTGCTTTCCCGAGGTCACACTTGGTCTTGGCCTCACCTTTTCCTTGCTGCAGTGTTTCCAGGGCATTGCAAGTAGGGAGGCAACAGATCAGTTTTTCTAGACAACATGTTCCAATAGCACAGAGCTCAGCCACCCATGAAGGGTCAAGAGAACCAGCTTCATTTTTCTAGGCAAATTTCAAGCTGTTTGTAAAAATGGTAACAGTTTTCATTTTTAAGGACCTACTATGTGCTATATGTTCAACATATTTATGCTGTGCATTTATTCCCATTTTGTAGTATGAAGACAGAACCAGCTGGATTTCAAAATATATGCAGAATCAAACGCCTCCTCACCCTCTTGTCCAAGCCATCATCATCTCTGGCCTGAGCTCCTGCAACTGCCTCCAAATGCTTCTCCCAACTCCTGTGCGGGCCTCCCTGCACCCGCGCAGCACGCAGCCACCAGAAACCTAAAACGGAGCAGGCGCTCCTCTGGCTTCCTCGTTGAGTGTCAAAGTCGAAGTCCTCGCCAGAATGCACAGGCTCTACCTGCCCACGCCCTCAGCCGTTCGTTCTGCTCCAGCCACGAGGGACTCCTGCTGTTCCCACATCTGCTGCAGGGCCTCTGCACTGGCTGTTCCCTCTGGCTAGAACACTCTTCCCCCACATGGGTGAACAACCAACTCCCTCACCTCCTTCTGCACTTCAAAGGTCACCTCTTCCTTGAGGCCCACCCTGACCACCCAGTTTAAAATAGTAACTCCCCTGGAACTCCTGACCGGGCCTTATCTTGCTTGTTTATTCTGAATAGCGCTTTCCATCTGTCTCCCTGCACCAGACTGGTCTCCACAAGGACAGGATGTCTGTTTTCCTCATGGATATATCCCAAGCGCCTAGAACAGTGCCTGGAACACAGCAGGTGCTCAGTCAGTAGTTATTGATCAAATCTTCCGGTTGGAAAAACTGGGTTAAGAAATGTGCCTAAGATGTACCTGAGCTGTGGGTGCCAGAGGAGGGATCTGAACCCAGACCTTCTGGCAACAAGGCCCAAGCCAGGGACAAGAGGATACTTATGAATATGTCATTTCTTTCATGGATTTTCCCAGGTAAACTGAGGCACATCAAACAAATGCCTGGGTAGCAAGAACCCAATACAGTGGGACCGCTTCAATCAGAATCAGACTGCGACACAATCGTCTTCCCTGCTAACAGACCCTGCCTTGGTTCAGCTGGTAATGTGCCTACCTGAGGATGAACAAGATTGTCAGTCACAATCCCCTGTTCCTCCTTGCCAGTGGGGGTGGACGTGTGAGCCATTTCTGGCCAATGATTCACATGGGAAGGCTGGGGGGACTTCAGAGGGAGGATCACGGGAGACAAAGACCTTTTGCCTGTACACTTCTCCCCCTGCCCCTTCCCAGGCTAGATGCCACCCTGTGAGGATGTGGTGTTGGAGCCACAGCAGCCATCATGAACCCACGAGGAGAGCCATTGCTGACGTGCAGAAGATGAGATGTGGGAGAGGAAACAGGGGAAGTGGAAGAAGAACAGGCCTTTCATGACCCTGCTGAGTTGATAAATTAACCAACCCTGGCGTGGGGTGGGGGCTACCTGAGACTCCAATTAAGGTGATAAATATCCACCTTGTTTAAGACACTGCGAGCTGAGTCTTTTATTAAATTCCCCCAAAAGCACCTGAATGATGTATAAGCTGCATTTCCATGAATGCCTGGATAAAAGATTAACCCAAGACTGTGTGGTTCTCACACATAAACAAACACAGCTTCCATTAAAGCTTGCAGGGAACTAGCTGCTCAATGCAGCTCTTCAGCAGGAGAAGTGCAGAGGCCACCTGTCGAGGCAGAGGCCCTGCTGCGTCTGCAGGGCCAGCATGGTGCCTAGCACAGAGTGAGATTCTATTTCTTTTCTTTTTTTGATTTTTTTTCTTTTTCTTTTTCTTTTTTTTTTTTTTTTGAGACAGAGTCTTGCTCTGTCGCCTGGGCTAGAGCTGTGGCATCAGCCTAACTCACAGCAACCTCAAACTCCTGGGCTCCAGTGACCCAACTGCCTCAGCCTCCCAAGTAGCTAGGACTACAGGTGTGCACCACCACATCTGGCTAATTTTTTCTATTTTTAGTAGAGATGGGGTCTCGCTTTTGCTCAGGCTGATCTCGAACTCCTGAACTTGAGCAATCCTCCTGCCTCGGCCTCCCAGAGTGCTAGGATTACAGGCGTGAGCCACCATGCCCAGCCCAGAGTCAGTTCCTATAACCTACTGCGGGCGGGGTGATGGTGAGTGTTGGGAATGGGCCTGGGTGCCCACAGACTCCTGCCACCACTTGAGTCACTAGTTGCCTCAGGCAGCTGATGGAGCGTGAATCCCAGGCCCCAGGTCAGACAGAGTGTGGCTGGTTAGGAAGGGGTTACAGTTATTTCCATGTCTATTGGAGGAGACTGAAGTGACCTGCCCAAGAGGACACTGTGGTGAGGGGACCTGGTCAGTTCCCACCACCAACCAACCCGCTGGGTCATGCCAGGTGACGGACTCCATTCTAGGAGTCTGATGCATTTCATTGCATGCCTAAGGTCCGTGCTTACAGAAAATCCTTTTAAATAAAGTGCTCACTTCCCCATTGTCGTTTAAAATAGGCTTTAAAAAAGAGCATTCTAATGGGTTTCACTTTTCAGAAACACAGCAAATGTATTTTTATGGAGAGTTGAGAAAATTAAACCAGACAAATCCCACGATGCCCTGGGAAGCCCCCAAGAAAAGGAAGAAATGCTTTAGGCTGCAGGGAGGGAAATACCCGAGCGCAGGCTGGGACAGTGACCAGGACAGCAGCCACCCCCTCTCCTTAGGGAAGACCTCCCTGGCACTGAGCACCCCCTTTGCTCTGGAGCCCGTGGCAGGGGACCCAGTAAGGCAGGTGGTAAGGCAGGTGACAGCAGGTGCTGAAGGCCACCAAGTTCACACCCTCAGCTTGAGCCTGCTCTATCTGCTCCCAGAAAACAAATCCCAGCGTGTGCCAAAGTGCATGCTGTTCATGTCATTGTTCTTCCAAGCAGCCCCAAAACCACCATCCTGGGGGTGTCCCGGGTCCCATCATGAGGACTCGGGCTGGGGTGTCTGGGAAGATGGGGCACTGTGGGGAGAAGTCACCAGGGCCCCAGCCAGGCTGTGGATGTGCAGGGGACCCCTGGATCCAGGTGACTCTGGGGCATCGCATGACATGCCCATGCGCAGAGCTGCAGTGTCTGAGGGGCAGGGCTGGGTCCACCTCAGCCGGAGGGACCCAGGGCACTTCTGCCCCTGCAAGAAACAGGACAGCTCACCGTCTTCACTGAGTCACCTGCCCTGCCCTGCCCCGTGCCTGCCCGTGGGCGCGGACCTCCTCCAGAGGCCGGTGGCACCAGGGTCATTTCTGGGGTGTTGCCCTTTCTGCAACAGAAGTTCCCTTTTCAAAGCACAGGACCCTCCACCCCACACACAGTGGTGACACAGGGCCTGGGGCAGGATGTGGACGAGTGGACAAGGCCGGCAAAGACAGAGACGGGGGCCACCTGCTGCCCTGGCCCCTCTCCCCCGTTCCTCCTCGGGAACCTGCGAGGGAAGGGCCCAGTTCACGGCCACAGGCAGGCACAGATCAAAACCCCAGACAAGCTCCCAGCACCTCCAGGCCTCAGCCTCCCCGTTCCGGAACGCAGTCACGCGTCCTATGGGCTGCTGGCACTGGGAGGATTCTGTCCTGCCTGGAATGGCCTGGCTTCAGACAGGCAGCTTTCTGCGCTCTGCAAGTCATGGCCAAAACACCACCTCCTTTACGAAGACCTCTCTGGAAGTGTCTAAATCCTCCCTTGTGGGCATCCCCCTCCCCCGGCACATGGTTTTTACTATAAAAAGTCAACTCTTTTTCAAATTATGTTGCACACCTCACCTAACACACCCATTTCCCTCACCAGCCTGCGAGCCCGTCACAGCCAAAGCGTTCACCTTCTCAGTCCCCAGGGCAGTCCACAGCCTTGGCCAGGCCTGGCGCACAGTGGGGCCTCCTGGGACCCTTTGTGGAGCGGATAAAGGCAGCCCCCAGTCACAGACTAGGGGCCGTGCAATGTTAGGTGAAACTTGAGTCACTCTACAATTTCCTAATTTTGTTTGCCCATAAACAAGTAAACCCTCATTGCACCAAGGTAGCATGAATCGCCAAACAGCCTAGGAGGGCAGGTATCAAACGCACAGGAGAGCAGGTTGTGACCATATTGCACAGCACAGAGTGGTATCTGTAGCATCATTAACATGATTCCTTTACAACTGCAAACTCTTTGGGTTTAGCTACATCACATTGGTTTGATTTGCATATGAAAAATGCTATTTTCACATATTTTTAGAAAATTGAATGCAGATACGTTCAGTCCCATTTGCACACAGCGGAACATGCACCGTCCTCAGCACAGGAAGAGGCTGGAAGGAGCTTGCACGTGGGCCACCGGGCTCTCACGTGATTTTTTTGTTTTACTTTCTTCTTATCTTTTTGATATTATTTGAATGTAGTATGCTATTTACATTATTTTTTATAATAGAGAAAAATTAAAGTGATTTTCATTTGGAATAAACAGTAATGCTCTCTGTGCTCCTCTGGGTGGAGGGGCCTGGGTGTTTGTGGCCCAGGGAAGGTCCTGGGTGCTCCACACTTCTGAGTTCATGTGGCTGACAGTGACCATTTGCCTTCTTGGCCACGGTGCCCAGGTGGCCACTCTGCTCTGGCCACAGGATGGGAATTCCTGTACGAGGACAGCCCTGGGGTTCTGGACTCTTGTCGTCTGACCCTCCCCATTCCGGCAGATTCCTCTATCACACTCACAGGTGACACATGCTGCATTGAAAATCACACTGTTGCATGTGAATTCTGGACTCGAACCTAACCCGAGGTTCCCAGGGAACTCTGGGGGGCCTGGACCTGCCACCGGGAGGCCCGGTGCAGAGGCCATGCTGCAGGACTGTCCCTGCGGCCGCTGCAGCAGGACGAGGGACCGAGCGCCACTCACCTTTGCAGACGAAGCACTTGAGGTGGAAGTACTTGCTCTGCACCCGCAGCACCTCGCCCTTGCACACATTCCCGCACGTGTTGCACAGGATCGCCGTACTGGGCGGCTTCTCCAGGGGGCTGTGAGCAGCCTGTGGCTGCGACACTGTGGGAAAAGGAAAGCGGGTTAAAGGGTGGCATGCGCCAGGCCCAAGGGTGTGGGGTCGCAGGGCCCGGCCCTCCCAGCAAGCCCATAGCACAAAGCGCAAGCCCCACAGGGCATTGGATGGACAGATGTCCCTTTTTCCCTCGGGGACCGCAGGAGTCAGATAATGGGACAGGTGAGGGGCCTGGGGCTAAGGCCATCTGGTCAACCCCAGTGTGGGCTCCCATCTGTGGCAGCCCCATCCAGTGGGTGGCCCTGCCTCCTTGAGCGTGCACAGATGCAGTGATAAGGCCACAACTGCCCCTCCTGATGGATGACCCAACCCCTGCTGCCTCGACCCTCCAGGGTCTCAGAGGCAAGGCATCCCCTGGTGAGCTCACAGCCCTTCAGCAGCAGGGGAGGGACCAGTGTCCTCTCTCTGCAGGTACAAGAGCCACGGTCCTCTTGGGAGTTTGCTTCAAATTTCCTCTGGGTCCTGGGACATTGATCTGAATATTGTTGCTGTCCCCTTAAAGCTGGCCATGGTGTAAGATGTTCAAGGAGGAGCTGGGCAGATGGATGAGTCAGGACAGATGGTCACAGAGCCTGACCGTGGGGCTCCCGGGGACTGGGCAAGGCCGTGCACTCCTCATCCCCATCCCCCTAGAGCGCCTACGGAGGCAGCGCACAGCATGCGGGGCCCCATGGCAGAGAAGCCTCAGGTCTGCCCCGGGGCTCCCAGCCAGGCAGTGGGGACAGCCAGGTGAGCAACAATGACAACCTGGTAGCCCAGCTGGCACTGGGAGAAGCTCCAGGGAGCCCCTTGAGCTTGGCAGCATGAGGAGGAGCTGGCTGGACAGAGGGGAGGCTGGGCAGGGAGGCCTGCCACGCAGGCAGAGGGCCCAGTGTGCGGGACACACACAGGCGAGCAGTGCCCACGAGGGAGCCTTGGGCCAAGTGTAGGGGCAGCTAATGCCCAGGAAGTGCTGGCTGGCAAAGTAACAGCCTAGAAGGACAGACGACTCCCGGAGCCCAGGGAAGGCGCAGAGGGGTTGGGTGGGCAGGAGGTTCTGTGGTCAGTGGCTGAGGTCGGCCCGGTAACAGCCCCCAGTGATGTCCATGTCCTAATCCCCAGGACCTGTGCACACGTTTCCAGACAGGGCAAAACGGACTCTGCGTATGTGATTAAGTTCAGGACTTCCGGGTTACCCAGCTGCGCCCAGTGCAATCACAGGGTCCTTGACATCAGAGGACAGTTCCCAGAGGGAGCCATGACCGCGGCAGAAAGAGAGACGCCATGCTGCTGGCTTTGAGGAAGGAGGAAGCGGCGGCGAGCCCAGGCATGCGGGCACCTCCATAAGCAGGAAGAGGCAAGGACAGGACGTTCCCTCCCTCCAGAAGGAGCCGGCCCTGCCAACAGCTTGATTTTAGCTCAGAGAACTGTAAGACCATACATTTGTGTTGTTTCAATCCACTAAGTTTGGGGTCAGTTGTTACAGCAGCCAAGAAAGCTAACGCAGCTTTGTTCAGGACTAAGCTGCTGTTTGGAAAGATCGTTCCCACCAGCAGTTGTGCACTAATGCAGCCGTCATCATTTCAGACAGGCCGCTGACACAGGTGCAGCGCCTGAGGCTCCAAGCCCTCTCCTCCCCACCCACATTCTGCTAGTCACCCCTCGGTAGGGGGGCACGAGTCACCAACGACAGCACGAGTCACCAACGATGGCAGCTGCCAAGGGCAGGCTTTCTCGCAGCCCAGGCCCCACGCAGGTGCTTTCTGCTGACGGTGGAATTCATCCACGTGATCTTACGAGAAACTGAACACACAGACAGAGGCCACATAGAAAGACAGAACTGGCCCACACCTGCAACTACGTGCCCAGAAAACCAGCTCCTGTCTGCAGCAAACAGCCAAGAAGCCAGCCTGCCACACATCGGACTCACGGGAAGGCAGACTGCTCTCTCCCAACAACCCAGGAGCCAAAAGAGGACTCTGTAACCATCAGCCCCAAATGGCCTGGCAGCCACCGATCTGGCCACCCATCCTCTGCTGAGTCCCCCTGCCCAGAGATGGGGGTTTGAACAGGAAGCAGCACAGAGAAGGAACCCAGGTCATCCTGGTGACGCAGGCCTTCTGAGGATGGGGATTCGGCCCGATGGTGCTGGGTGCACCTGTCTGGGGATGAGGGTGAGGTGTCAGCCTGGAGAAGCAGGTGCAGGAAAGGAGGTGAACAGCATGAAAGATAATCCAGCCGGGCCCAGGGGCCAATGCCTGTCTCCAGTTTCAAGAGGAGCCTAGGACGCTAAACAGGGTGGTGCAGAGTCCAGCAAGGGGCCCTCTGAGCTTCCTCCATAGCCCCAGAGACCACAGTGATGTTTCTCCCTCTGGGCTAAGTGTTCGTGGCAGGTCCGTCCCATGCCCCTTTCACCCACAGAATCATTGCAAAAACCACTTTGTCCATATTCAATGAAGGTGACGGAGGGACCGAAGGTGAGGCTTTCCTGGGCGTGACCCTGAGGCTCCCGCTGCAGAGCAGGCATCGGAGTTGCGGTTCGAAACCTCGGACAGGGCCTGCGCCTGCTGCACTTGGCGCGGGGCCACCGGGGCTCCCGAGGCCGACACGCTAGTGACTCAGGCCACGTCTGAGACTCAGTCAGAGAGCGTAGGGGTGGGGGGTGTGGGGCTCCTGTCTATTGGCAACGCAAGGAACAATGCGCTCGTCTCTTCATGTCAGACAAGTGTTCAGACTGCTGGAGTGCGGCTCAAATCCAGCACTCGGGAAACGTCAGTGTCAGTCCCGGGGGCAGCACGGGCTGTGGGGTCCGACCGCCCCTCACCTCCCACAGGCTGTGACCTCGGTGAGTCCCCGAAACTCCCGACTCCCCATTTATCTGTCTGTCCATCTGCCCATCTGTCCTCAGTGCACACCAGCTGGCCCCAGGGACACCAGGACTATGGACAAAACTGTTTGCCTAGCAACCAGCCCAGCAAAACAATAAGTGCTCAAGAAACAATAGCTATCGTTATTTTCGGGAACACATGGCCTGACATCACCCGTTTCCAGGCTTCTGGAAATATAGTTGGCTCTGAGGGCAAAGCTACTGCAAGAGCTGCCATGTGCTTGCAGGATCCTACCCCACCCTCCTGGAGCCGCCTCTGCAGCGCCCAAGCCGGGGGCTGTGGGTTGGTGGCAGTGGTGCTGCCCTCTGGTGATGGAAGGCAGACACTGCACTGCGAGGACCTCCAGGCGCACGTGCCACCTCTGCAGGTTTCCCCTCCAGCCCCCTTGGGACCACAGGTGGGTGGATGTTGTGCATTTGAAGCATGGGTCTTTTTGCCCCACCAAGAGGGTTCACTATTTGCACCTGCCGTGGCTGCCAAATTGCGAGGACAGGGGCATACTAGGAGAGGCCAGGGTGGCCGTGGCAAACCTGCACAACTCTGCTTGCCTCCTCTTGGGCGCCCTCGTCCCTGACCAGTAGGCGACGACACACCTGATGGGTGCTCCCCAGAGGGTGCCTCCCCTCCCACGGCAGCAGCAGAGCAGGTGCTGCGGGTGAGCAGACGGAGGCTGGGCTAGGCGCCCTGCGAGCTCGCGGCAGTGCGGGGAGGGCTGTCCCCGCCAGGCTGCCCTGTGCTGCTGCGCCAGCTTCCCTGCACGGGACGCAGAAGTCCCCGATTGGTGGCTCGTGCCAGCCCACCCAGCCCCCCTCAGACTGTGCTCTAGAGACAGAAACTCCTTCTGCCCTGAAGCTGAGCTGGCTGGCCATGAAGGTCTGAGGGAGCCAGCGGCCGGGAGTGCACAACTGCTGATGGGAACAATCTTTCCAAATAACAGATTAGTCCTGAACGAAGCTGCTGAGGCATAAGGCGCCTCTGCCCTCCCTCCCAGCTGCTCAGGGCTAGGGATGGGCACCGACTCCCCTCTGTCCCTGGCGCCAGCCCCGGCTCCATGTGCAGCAGGCAGCTGGGGAAAGCTCGTGGAAAGGAAACCGTTTCCTTCTTTTTAACAACTGGTATTTCTTGAGCCCTCGCTGTGCACTGGGCCCTGTCCTCAGGGCAATGCACATGTCGACTCTCCCCCACGACACCCCTGCTAGGCAGCTGTGACGGCCCCTCCCACAGGTGAGGACACCGAGGCCGAGGGAGGTAAGCACAGGCAAGCCAGGCCCGAGGCTGCCAACACGGCTGCACTGGCACTGCCCCGGGGGGCCTTCCCAACACGTGCTCCTGAGCCCCCCACACACAGTTCGTGATTCAGGGGGCCAAGAGCTTTTATTTTTAAAACGGCTTTGGTTGTTCCGAGTAACTCATTCGCGGACATCAGAGTTGGAGCTGCCGGCTCCCAACAGCAAGGCCCAGCCTGGCCAGTGCCACGCGGGCTGTCTCTCACCGAGTTGGCCTGGTGCACGCCAGCGACCGGACCACAGGCTGTCCTTTCAGACAGCGCCTTCCGGAGTGCAGAGCAAACGTGCACTTTGGGAGAGAGGGACAGGATGTCCCCATGACACTTGTGAAACCGCGCCCCAGCTGGAGTCAGGTTCCAGGAGGGAGGTGCCACTGCAGGGCTAAAGGCTGGTCCTCCGTGGTTCTCACAAAGCACAGCGTTGGCCAGAACAACGAGCGATACCAACAGTTGCTTGGACCAATGTGACCTAACCCACTGAGTCCTTTCCAGAATGGCAAACTAAATGTTAACATGCCTGTTTGTCAGTGACATTCACCTTGATTCGGTAACAAAGTCACACCACTGTTGTGCACCTAAACACACATCCTTCAGTGAGTATAAGTCTTAAATGTCCCCCTCTGGACAGCCCCAGTTCCCAGAACCCCACCTTCTTGGTGCCTGCTCCCAAGCCTACTCATCGTTCATGGACACATGCTCTTTGGTGCCTCTGGGCCTTTGCACATGCTGTTCCCTCCATGTGGAAGGCCCTCTCGGCTTCTCTATACCTTCCTTTAAGAGTCACCTCCTATGCCACTGCCTCTGCAAAGTCCTCTGGGATTCCCACCAGGGTGACAGGCTCCCCTCCCCCACTTCCTGGCTGTGTGTGGCATGCACCTTCACACAAGGTCTGAGTGGGTGGATAGCCCTGGCCACCTGTCTGTCAATCATCCCAGACCAGAAAGGCCTTGGAAGGAGGGGCCAGGTGAAATTCACCTCGGTCCTCCAGAACCTGGCCCAAAGCCTGCCGTGTATGGATTTTACATTAAAAAGAGAACTTTAGGGGAGGGGGAGATGGAAAATAAATAAATAAAAATAAAAACAGAACTTTCAAGGTGTCCTTCAGAAGGTGAATGGATGAACAAACTGGGGAACATCCAGACAACAGAATATTTTTCACTGATAAAAAGAAACAAGCTATCAAGCCACAGAAAGACATGGAGGAAGCTTAAATGTACACTGCTGGGTGAAAAACACCTGAAAAGGCTGCATACCACATGATTCCAACTCCACGACATTCTGGAGAAGGCAGGCAGTAAAGAGATCGGTGGTCGCCGGGGGTCTGGGGGAGGGAGGGATGAACAGGTGGGGCACACGGTTTTTAGGGCGGTGACACTGCTCTGTACACTACTGTGATATACAGTGGACACAGGTCTTCGTGCATTTGTCCAAAGCAGAGCATGTCCAACACCAGGAGGGAACCCCAAGATGTATCTGCAGATTTCAGATAATAACCTATCAATATTGGTTCATCGGTTGTAATAAGCAAACCACAGCTGGGCAAGATGTTGATAACAGGAAACCGGGACGGGGAGGGGGAATGTATGGGAACCTCTCCGCACTTTCTGTAAACCAGAAACTGCTCTAAGAAATAAAGTCTATCAAAAAATATAAACATTTAAAAAGGAGCAACCACACCCCAAGACTTAACCACAAGTGCGGCAGGTTCGTTTCACAATTTTAAGATCAGTTCTAATAATTGGGTCTAACAGGTCCCTGCTGTGATAATCACATGAAACATAAACTCAAGGGGTAAGATTCAAGTACGAGGGGCTGTGATTATCTAATCCCCTGTGATAATGAAGCCCCCGTGCTGGGAGCCGTGGCGGGAACAGCAAGCGTGGTGGCTGCTGTCACTAACACACGACCTCCACTGCAAAGGGACGCGGCCCTCCGGGAAACCACGGGAGCCCGCTACTCCCCTCCAGGCTGGACTACTGCTCTGCCACCAGCCTGCTGGACCTGGAGGAGTCGGGACGGGAGCCAGCACCACCTGGTTTGGACCGACTGTCAGGGGCTGTGCAAGCTCGGAGACCTGATTTAACTCTGCGGAGCCTCAGCTTTTACATCGGCAAATTGGGGCTTGGTCTTACGAGGAATTTCAAATATCCACTGAAGTAGGTAAAGCCGCTCGAGCAAGGTCTGACGTGGCTCTGAACAACAGCTGTGAGTTGTGTCCCCCCAGGGCTCAGAGGCCAGGTGTGCAGGGCAGGGGGTGGCTATTGGAAAGGAGAAAAATGATCCCTCTGAGGTCCTCTCTGGGTCTCACAGTCTAGCACAGGAGTCCATGGCGTTTCCTCTGAAAGCCCAGACGGTGAGTATTTTAGGCTTGGCATGCCATGTAGTCTCCGTCACAACTATTCAGCTCTGCCCTTGTATCTGAAAAGCAGCTGTAGACAATGTATAAACAAATGGGCGTGGCCATGTTCCAATAAAACTTTATTTGTCCCATAGACCTAGATTTTGGCCCCTGGCCTAGTATTCCCAGAGGGCCACACCTTTGCTCCAGCAGGAGCCTCATCCACCAGTTGTCCTGGGTGTGCACTCATGAATGGGTCCAGCTTGGTGGGTGGCAGGTGGGGTGCTTAGAAGAGCAGGAACTGGAGGGTCACCAATCCCCAGCCATGCCACCTTGGGCAGGTCACATGACCCCTCGGAGCCTCGGTTTGCTCATCTACAAAATGGGGACAACTATTCCCAAGACACAGGGCAGATCAGATGAGCCGTGAAACTGGTGACCCAGCCAGTGCAGGGAGCAGTCATAGGACTGGGGTTGCAGCAAGGGAGCTGCTCCTCCGGGTCCTTGGCCACAACATCCCATGGCTGCAATGGCCCGATGGCGACCTCCTGATGGCGGGGTCCTCCACACTGACCTCTGCACACCGGGGCCTCGCCCAGCTGCACCCAGTCCTGAACTCTGAGCAGGACCCACACAGACCCACCCCTAGGCCTTGCTGCTGGCTGAACCCCACAGACGCCACTGCTACCTGCGACGTGGAGGCAGCTCTCAGCCGCACCGTGTGTCCTGGCGGGAGAACCTCCAGACCCAGTTGAAACCACAGGTGGGCGCCTTGGTTTCTTCACTCTGACCATTAGACCCCACACTCCCTCTGCCTTGTGAGCTGGAGGAGCCGCTTCTGGACTGTTAACCCACATAACGCTTCACTCTCCTCTTCGCCCTGTTGGCACAGACCTAACCTAGCAGCAACTTCCCCACTTTGTTCACAGAAACCCACCAACCTGCCCTCATTCCAGATGCCACGACCACAGGTCCCATGGTTTCCCTCAGTCATCAAACCAGGAGGCCAACTGTGATACCGCATGTGCTGTGTGCCCCGTGTGTTTCAGGTGACCCTGGTCGGTGCACGGTGTGCTCAGGCCCCTCCTCATCCTGCTGCCACAGCCCCATGTTCAGGCGCAGAGCACCTGCCCAATCCTCCGTGGCGCTCTGTGACGTTGGAAACCACTGTAGGTCCCCGTGACGGCGTTCTGTAAGCCAAAACTATGCCACTGGGCCAAAGTGCACTCAACTCCAAATGCTAAAACAGTCAAGGCATTGGTTCATTCATTCACTCATTCACCCAATGTTTGAGGGCCTATTCTGTGCCCTGAGTTGGTCGAGGCCCTAGGGATACCACAGTGGACAAAATAGATGCAGTCCTGGCCCTGTGCACTCTCTCATTGGTGCACGTCCCACAGGAACGGTTGATCGTCCCCATTGCACAGAGAGGGTCACAGGGCTAGGCGAGGGCCCAGCGGGGGCCTGTTCAGCCCCCTGCTGGTCTGCAAATCATGCGTTCACTTGCTCAACAGAGGAGCAGGGCAGCACTGGGCCCCAGAGGGACAGAGGTGCCCACGGGCACTGTCCCAGCAGGGCAGGCGGCAGCGGGAGGGGCAGGCCAGGCCAACAGGGCACGGGACAGCCAAACTCCCCTCCGTCCAGCGACCCACCTTTCACTCAGACAGCAAGGCACTCGTCATCCCGTGATCCTTGGGAATTGTTTCAACTCTTCATTTCCGCTCTCTTCCCACGGATCTATATTTAGTTTCATCCTTCTCTGGGGGCCCAGTGAACACTGGAGCCTGAGCAGGTCCCAGTTTGGCAAGACCTACAGCCCATGTTGGTCTTGTTCTCCTGTCTTCCTGGGTTTGCTCTGGAGGTAAATCCACCTTGATATTGGGACATGGGGCCCCTTGAGTACTCACATAGGGGAAAATCTGGGGTCAGCCCAAAGCAGAGGGTGCTCACTGGAACCCTACTCCATCTGCCAAGATGATTTCGGAGAGCTCTACTGTGTGTATCATGCAAACGGCTGGTTTGAGGTTTCCAGATTGCCTAGATATGTCCTAATAATTGTGAGTAAGTGTTCTAAGACCACGCACGCACCCATGCACTCCTGCAGTTCCGGCTCCCCCAGGGCGGGTTCCGGCATGCACAGTTCCAGCTCTGCCTTTTGGATCTTTCCTTCTGACCATGACAACAAGCAGAGAACTCCTTGGGGGCTCTGCAGGGAGATGAACCTATGTGCAGTCAGAGAGGGCTTCTGGGAGGAGGTGACGTGAGGTGGCAACTCAGAGGGTGGGCAGGTGCCTCCTAGGAGAGGAGTAAGCACACTTCCATGGAACACAGTGTTGCTGGGTGGCTGCTGTCCCCTGGCCTGCCTCCCACCACTGGCCTAGAAGCCCCCATGGGCCAGGGGCCAGGGGCCAGGACTGAGATGTGTCTCCCTAGGGCCGGGAGCTGGGGGACACCAGAGCTGGCCCCAGTCCTGTGCCGAGGTGCTCTCAGCCAGTCCCTGCAGGCAGACAGCAGAGCTCATGCACCCTGTGGCCATGAGCACCCCATGCTAGCTCTGCCCTCTGGCACGGGGGCTTCTCTGGGCTAATTTTCTAAACACAGAATTAAGGGCACAAGGAACACGCACTTGGAATTCTCATCCACGTTGCGCAACTGCCCTCTTGAGGGTTTGCAAGCCCCCACCCATGCCGTAGAGTCCCCCCTGCCCTGGAGTACTCACTTTATAGGTCGCATCTCGGTTTCAGGCTAGGTCTAGGCCTCCCTACTGTCCTGCCCAAGCGTTACTTGTTGGAAAATCATGCCAAATCACACGTGGGCACCTCCTTCCTAACCTACTTAAGGGCTGATGGCTAATTATAACCATGAGCCGGGACGCTGTGTTCTGGAGCCGGCCCCGTTCTCGCCAAGGCCCTCACGGCCTGGGCCCAGGAAGGGGCTTCGAGGGTCTCTGACTGTCCCCGTGTGGCCAGACATGGTGAACCTTCACTGGGCAAACATGCACTGGGTGGGTCCCTGCCAAGCAGTGAGGCAGATGCAGCCCCTGTCCCCAAGCCACTCACACTCGTGGGCACAGAGATAGGGGACAATGAGGACACAAAGACGTGGGCACACACAGGAAGCTCGTGGTGCCAGCACCACCGGAACCCCAGGCACAGGCACTTTCCTCCCGGGATGTGCCACGGCTCCCTTTCAGTTATTGCACAAGCACACTGCAGAGACCCTGGAACGCCGCCCCGAGGTGACCTGGCCCTCTCCCTGCACTCACAGGCTCTGGTTTCTCCCATTTGATCCCAACCTGCCTGTGGCCAGACGGTGGCTCCCCAAGGACACGATCAGCTCGATTCTATCTTGGGGTCCTGAGAACAGACGCAAGGCTTGTGCACAAACATTTCCAGATGGAACTGAATATAGGAAAATGCACCATGTTCCCTGTCAACCTCCACACACCCCTCTGGTACTGCTGTCAGCCCCAGGCCACAATCTCCTGGGGTCTGACCCAGCCCAGGTCCTCAGTGCCCCGCTTAGGGCTGGCCCATGGGTGGGCAGTAAATGGCAGCTGGGTGCAGGAACTGCTGTCCTCTCGTGCCCACCTGCTGCACTGAACGCCCTCTGACGTCTGTCTCCTCTTAAGGGGCTGTGAGCCCCATGCCTGTCTGGCTCACCTGGAGGCCCAGCAGCCAGCCCGGTGCCTGCCACCGAGGAGGTGTCAGTGAATAGGGGGAAGCCACACACCACAACGAATTGCAACCTTTTAGCGCATGTGTCTGTTTCACGCTTCCCACAGCATGCGTCATCTGATCCATGCATTCCAGCATCCCCTACTGTGTCCTTCCAGAAGTCGGTTCTCTCTCTGAGCTCCTCTTAGGCTGTCTGATCAAACCACTGTGACACGCTGTGTTTTCAAAGATGGCGACAGCAACCATCCCATGTGCTCTTCTATTAATACAAATGGCACTGGCCCTTCTCACAGTAAGTGGTGGAATCTAAGACCCCTCCCCTTGAGACTGGGTGGACCTTTGTGATGGCCTTGACCAAAAGAATATGACAATATTGATAGCAGTTGACTTCCAAGCTAGCTCCTAAAATGCCACAAACTTCTGCCTGGCTTTCTTATGATGCTCATTCTTGGAGCCCAGCAGCCATGCTGTGAGGAAGCCCAAACCACCCCATGTGAAGGGACTACACGTGGAAGTCACGTGGAGCTGTTCTGGCTGAACGGCCACTGAGTCCCAGCTGATGGCCAGCATCGACTAGCAGATGTGTGAGTGAAGATGCTCCCAGGGGATTCTGGCCCCAGCTCTAGAGTCACCTCCAGCCTTTAGGTCCTCCCAGATGCAAACACAGACATCGTGGCAAGGAGATGGGCATCTGCCCCACACCCTTTCTGAATGTCTGGCCCTCAGGACCCGTGAGTGTAACAGAATGCTTGTTTCATGCCATTGAGGTGTGAGTGGTTTGTTGTGCAGCCACAGAAAATCAGGATGCTACCGTAGCGATGACCCCAGGCACCAGAACACCACTGTGCAAAACCTCTGCTCACATCACTGATACACAGACCAGAGCCAGGCTCCCCCAGCCTGCAGGTGGCCACGTCCTCCCCACTCTCCCACCCCACTTCACTACCACACGCACACGCACACACACCCCTCCACAAGGAGTCCAGGGACACGCCTAAATCAGTGCTTCCCCACCTGGGGACTGTGGAGAGTCTGCACATGTGGCTGTCTGCAGACAAGCTGCTCAGTCTGTATTGCACACACAGCGACCATGGCTTTCACTTCATGTGGCTGCTCGGGGAATTTTTAAAAGTGAAGGTTTACTTGGAAGTATCACAAAATCCCCTGTTGCTTTTGTTACTGAACATGTTCTTCAGCAGTATGGACATCTGAACACAACCATTGGAACACGAGTTAATTCGAAAAGGAGTCTTCATTCTCTGAAAGGTGTGGGGACCCATAACGTAGATCGTAGCAGCTTCCCTGCTCTGCAGAAAATGCTCAGAAAAAATACCTGTTCCTGATCTAATGTCTGAAACTTGCCTACCAAGCAAAAGTTAGGTTTTATGAGTATAGCAATTAACAGTTTACAAATCATCCTTATGCATCTTATCTTGGCTCATGCAGTAACTGCCTGCTGCACACAGGACAGGAGTGTGGATCAGTGGGTTACGCCTGGTCCCTCCACACCTCTGGCAGGCTCACTCCAGACTTCCCCAGAGACAGCAAAACTACTCCCTCCACTACCGAAGTCCCAAGAGGAGGCACTTGCCATTTTGATCCTGGAAAGAAAATGCCAAAAGTCTGACGTGACCTTGCTTCAAATCTTCACAGCCATTCCAGGAGGTAGGTGTGCTTATGTCCATTCGGCAGAATTAGAAACTGAGCTCAGAGAGGTTAACTAACCAGCCTAAAGCCACACAGCCAGTACGGGCAGAGACAATATTCAAACCCTGGTCTGTCTCCCTCTAGTTACCCACCCTGGGTCTAAGGCAGCTGCAGCCAACTGACTTTCAGCGTCCTGCCTCCACCCACTTCAGGCCCACCCACCTCAGCTCTGCCCACTGCAGCTCCCAAACTGCAGCCTTCCATCCCTGGGGTCTCAGCCCTGCCTGGGCTCTCCCCACCTTTCTGGGCTCCTCCCATGCCATGTGACCACTTTACTCTGCGAGGCACTACCCAGAAGCACTGGGAGGAGTGTCACCTTCTGGGGCAGGTTCCAGAAGGTGCTTCCTCCAAATTCAACCAGGGTGCCCAAGCCCATTCCCATGCGCTCAACTTTCCCAGCCCCCGCGCAGCGTCCTATGGGCCCAGCTGCTCACCGCAGGAAGAGACAGGATGGACTACAGGCGAGCTGTCCCCACACCAGTGATCACTGACAAAGCTCAGGACATGCCAAGGGAATAAAGCCCCGAATTCCCTGGGCTTCGTGCAGGAAACCTCCACAGCAAAACA